TCTGGTATAGGCAAAGGGTTCCAGGGTCCCAGCGGCTCATCCCCACCCAGAAATTCCCAAAGTACCCCCCCGGGGCCCTATGATTCGGTTTGTACCTCCCTCCTGTAGCGCTTACCTCCCTGAATCCACCTTCTTTGACTCTATGTGTATGTATACCTGTAGCCCCCGTTTCATTGACTCCAAATAACTTCGAATTATCTGCCAATGCTTGATCTTCATTCTGCGTGGTGTTATCACTTTAAATACCCTTTTTAATTTCCCTTTCAAGACTTGAACCTAGAACATCCTGAATCCTGCTCTGAAGAGAATTCTCTGAACCACTACACCGTCCAGTGCGCTCTTGGTCCTGATAATAAAACTTTTCATCTCTCTTTTTTTCTGACTTTTCCCTTGACCAGAGTACCTTTTATCTCCAAAGCAGGATCTAAAGACATTTGAGTCGGAGGTCAGAAACGAAAGTTAAATGCAAATAACTTCCAGAAACCTTTTTTCGCCCCCGACCGGAGAAAATCTTTAGATCAAATAACGCAATTCTAGCTAATTCTACAAAAGATCCGGTAGGTCACACATCGGTTGGTGGAGAAAGCACGAGAAACGAAGATATTGTTCCGGCGGGAAGATTGGGTGACGATGTATATGAGTCGATCAGGCTTCCCATTAGGGGTGGTGACAGGAGAACGTTGATCGCTTTTGGCCGTAACTGCACTGTACTGATCGGCTCAATCATCTGGATGGCTTTATCACGACACTCGCAAAGAGTCCTAAAACGCACATGTAATTGATGTTTTGGGCAAACCAATCTTTTTACCTTTGATAAAATCAACTCTTATCTTCTGCATTGAAAATGAATTGTCACCCTCACATCTGCCACGTTCTAGCCCTTTCCCAAAATATGAAGTATTTTTTGCGGGATTTGAGACTTGTTGACCCCTGGCGAGGCGCATTGGGTTTCAAGAGTAAAAGTGTTTAGATGAAAGGTGCTTTGTTTGGGGAAACAAACCTGGCCTCCTCACTTCTGCTGCGTACGTAGGTTGTCAATATTGCGGGGAAGTGTTGTTAAAGCGATTCGTTTGGAATTCGGTTAACACACTTGAGAAGAATGGGCAGTTCGAGTAAAGAAGGATATGGCTGCGCTGTCTTTGCTACAGCAATCAGTTTTATAGCCATCTTCATTTCTACAGCTTGTCTTGTACAGGTTTTCTTTCTTCCTCCTCCGTGCGCACAGTGCAGCTGCCCTGAAGATGGAAGGACAGATGAATTACGCAATCGAACGGCAGAAATGGCGAGGATTACGATCAAAGCTGCACCAGAAAAGAAAACCATTACGAAGACGCGAAAGGACGTGAGCAAAACTGTTGAGCAAACGGCTAAGGAAGCCAGAGTGAGAAAGCGCAGACAGACAACACAAACCGCACAAGGACAAGACAATAACGGTAACACTGCTTTTGGGGGTTATCTGCACAACGCCATTTTGCGGCTGCAACAGCAAATGATCGTGGTACAAGGCAGGTAAGAAGCGATCTTTGTTATGAAAACATCTGTTTTTCTTTGTGAGCAGAATCATGTTAGATCCCTTTCGAAAGGGTCGTCAAATCACTCATCAGTTTTGAGCAGTCTTTCCGTAAATGATCCTTTTTTAATATACGTATAATGTGTTGAGACCCCCGGCTGGGGGTAGGGGGTACTCTCTTATATGGGCTATGTTGGTATGTGAGGCCCCAAAGGGTATGGTCTTTTAGCCGCCTTGGTCAGATTTTATATGGCATCGATTTTGGCCATTTCGGTCTCAAATAGGGTATGGTTTTTGTACTTGTCTTGAATTGCACATGTTTTTCAGAAGAAGCTATCTTACCTAATAAAAGCATATAAACATTCCCTTGAACATTGGTCTGTACTAGGGAACAGGTCTGAAATAGGATATTGATTTAAGGTCATTCCACGCAAAAAGAACCTGCACTGAGATTTTTGTCAAACTTTGCCTATTGACTGTTTATATTGTAGGAACTTAAATTTGGAAATAAAAATGAGGGGTCCCCATGTTCGTTNATGTTTCCGACGATTGTTTCCTGCTCAACACTGAGAACTGGCCCATATTTATTTTACATAGATAAATTTATTACTCAATACAACACAACAGAAAAAAAATGATAGGTCACCGTACTCGTTTTCGAGAAAATGACGATATACCTCTATGGCGAGGTCCAGCCGCAAAGGAAAAGCCACCATTTTCTAATATGCGCGCGCTTATCGCGCGTGAAATTATGCGCAGTATTTTGGTCTTAATGGGGGTAAGGCTTTTGGGAAGCGGACCGCACACACCAACTCAGTTTTTCTCGGAACACCGCCCCCACCCCATCCCGGGAGTGGGCTTTGCAAACCTACACAGATAACCTACAGCCCACTAGCTAGGTTTAGCCTGCAAACAAGCTCGCGTTTGGGAACACTCTCGCCGACTCGACATTTGCCGCTCGCTTGTGTGACTGCTCGACGGCAAGACTGCGTGACGAGCCATCTGAAACAAACGTCATGGAGCGGATCGCCTAGCCTAGCCTAGGAGTTGATCAGAACAGACGGGATAGTCTTGTCTACCAGCTTGTGAAAAGGCGCATTGAAGGACATTGCGCACAGTTTTAAAGGATTTCCCAAACAATTCATAATCAGATAAAGCAACTTGATAAGCCAACAGACCATTTCCGAGTTCACTTGTGTGTCTTATCAAAACGAGTCTACGTGCGAAACCATTCATATGAAAACGAGTTCCGCCTACAGGTTCATTTTCATGCAAATCAAACTCATTTTTACATGAAAGGTTTTGCATGAAGGCTCGTTTTGAACCAGGGGACAAGCGAACTCGGAAATTATTAGGGGTGGTGTATGGTAAGTGCGAGACGTTGCGAAAAGGCGAGACTAGCGTTTTCTTTACGTCCCCGAGACATTCGATTGCGAGACAAAGATTTTAAAGTGCTTTAAATGCGAGGGCGTGACATTCAGATTCTAAGACGTTCAGAGGTCAGTTATAAAAACAAACAGACGAATCTAGACTTGGAGACATTCTTAGGCTCGCGAAAAAAAAATCGAGATTCAGAGACCGCTTTGTGAAGAAAAACGAGACAGCGAGACGCACATAGCCTCTGAAAAAACAAGACCACGAGACCCCTGACACGGCGAGAATTTTGCGAGAATCTGAATATCTGGAATCAAAATGCAAAAGAGTTAAACATATAATTATTTCTTTTTAGTTTTCAATAAAGCTTCTTAGCGCGTTTTATGTATAGTTACTTATTGTACGTGATTTTGTAGCATTTTGTAGTGAATTTTATCAGGGCCTTTATTGACTCTACTGATATCAGGTTCTTCTGAAAAGTCCACCCTGATAGACAGATATGCCTTAGGGCTTCTCCCTTGAAATTCATGGAAATCAAACTCATTTCCATATAAAAGGTTTTGCACGAGGACTCGTTTAGGAACAGAGGCACAACGAAATTCGCATCGAAATGGACCATTAAATTTCAAAAGAGTATGGGCGGAGACCCCTGCCTTTGTGGTCTGATCTGCACATTTGTATATCTGTGTATAGGGATGTTGCAGGGCTGCTCTAATTTTGAACCCAGACCTCCCACGGCCAAGCTTCAAACAGAGTGAGGTCTGGGTACGAGGTAAGGGCCGCTCTGGATACCAGTCTTCGAGCAGAATAGGCTACAGCAAGAGACTGTGATCTAGATCATGGTCTCTCTACCACAGTGTTAAAGTAGTTTACTCTCTATCTGTATGTTTTTGCAGGACTCAATACTTGCAAGACACCTATACGAATAAACGATTTCAATCAGCGCCGCGCGGACCTCCCGGGCAACCGGGTATGCCAGGTAGAGATGGCACTGACGGGAGGCCAGGAATGGATGGTCCTACGGGGATCCCTGGCAGAGATGGACCCCAGGGGAAGGATGGTCACCCTGGATCACCCGGAGCCCCCGGACCCCCGGGGGTAAATGGTCTTCCTGGCCATCGAGGAGAAACGGGCTTTAAAGGAGAGAAAGGCGAACCTGGAAAACAAGGTGATCAGCAGTTATTTTCCCATTCCTATTGCAAAACTTACGTGTGACGAGTTGGTCGATATTGTCTTGACGTGTCACATCATTCTCAGAACTATCGTCATAAGAAATGTTTGGTAATGACTAAGGAGAATATATATTTCAAACCTGGGGGCGGGGCGGTGACCTCATTGCCCGAAAAATTTATGCAATGCCCGAATGCGTAAGAAACGTTCACAGTTCCCACATCTAATGAAATTGCTATGATTCCAAAAATAGTCATATTCAAAGCTTGCACACTTACTCAATCAATCATACTCTATCAACAGTCTCGATCCGAGTAAAATCTCAGTAACACTTATTAAAAGAAAAAGTTCTGAAAAAGTAACCAACTAGGAACTTTATTTTTGAGTCTTGGAAATCACGCAAACAGCATTATTTTGTAATGTTTTCTCTCAAGTGTCGTTGCCCGAATCATGAGCGTTTTGCCCGAAAAATCACAGAATTTCAGTAGCTGGGGGGGATGCAGCCCCCCTCCACCCCCGTAGCTCGTACCCTATGGTTTTTAGAACAAATGTTCTCGTGGGATGAATAACTATTAAAGTACAGAAACATGAACGTGCTCTCTGGTTTATTTCAAACTTGGTAAAGTGATCTTTTCACAACACAATTTCGACTTCACTTAACGAAATCTCGGAAGTAATCAAAATGCTAGAATGCAAATTAAGGTCATATGCTCTTAGTCGTTTCCAAAAGTTCCTGTGTGCCACTTTGTCAAATAATATACTCTGTTGAGAGCGCTGAATTTTTGTTTAACTTTTTGCTCAATCGGATTTCACATGTTAAGAAGAACATTTGAACCAAAGCTACCAGGGATCCATTGCTCTGTTACTGTTCAGTCTGCTCAAGTTATAGCCTTGAAGCGCGACAGGTCTCATTGTTGTCTTGAGTGATTCTGGTGTGACGCTTCGAATGAAATACCAGTGTTCTAACATTTGCATTACCCGTCGATAGTTGGCGTTCAATAAAGTGAAAATGAAAGAGAAATTAACTTTGTTGTCTCCGTTTTAGGCGATCGCGGTTTAGGGGGATTGAAGGGAAACAGGGGAGCTGCCGGAATACCGGGCGAGAATGGCGAGCCAGGAATCCCTGGAAGGGCAGGAAATAAGGGGAACAAGGGAGAGGCTGGCGAGGCTACTTGCTATGTCACGGAGAGGGGCCGGCGAGTGGAGAAGTCTTGCGTCGAGGCGGCGACATACGAGGAACTTGGCAGGGACGTAGCCGGGAATGACGGGGTAGGACTCACCTACACCCGATGGGGGAGAACCACATGCCCCGTAGGAGGTGCTACGATAGTTTACTCAGGTAAGATGTTGTGACTTCCCTTTAAATCGATTCGTCTAAATTATCCTTTCAACTTGGTAATAGTATACATAACTGCATGTACAGCGATTTGCTTACTTCCAGCTTCATCACTCTCAAGTGCGACCAAAACGTTAACCCGCTCGCAGGCTATCCCCTGCAGTTTCATTTTGCCCCAACTCTCAAGGACCTCATAAGAAAATGTTGATCTGATGCAGGCCGCGTTCTGCGACAACTCCAACACTCCCTGGCTCTGGAAACAAGACTGTCATACTTTCGTTCGCGCATGCTAAGATTGATTTCACGCCGTTAGTCAGGTGGAAAGGAATGCTCCGAGTAGGACATTTATTCTGAACAAAACTGTCCTTTTCTGTCTATCAGGTCAAGCTGCGGGCACAGGCCAGGGTAAAGATCGAACTGGGGGATCTCCTTTCATCTGTGTACCTAACCAGCCTTGGTACTTTGGCCAGGTGGATCCCAGCACTCCGCTGGCCAACGTCTCGCAGGCGAATCTCAACGCACTGAAACAGGACCAAACAAGAAGCACACTGCACGGCACCTACTTCTACCTGTCATGCGTGCTGTGCCTGGTCAGGAGGCGCAGCGTACAGATCATGCTGCCGGCCCGTAAGGAATGCTATCGGGGGTGGCACCGGGAGTATGATGGCTACCTGGCGGTGCAGTCTAATCGGAAAGATCATAAGGACGTCATCTGCATCGACAGGGAGTCTAGAGGACTCCTGCAGGAGGCCACTTACGTCCGAGGGCTTTTTGCGAGCTGCCAAACGTTTTCCTGTCCGCCGTATGTTGAAACTGAGAGACTTCCGTGCGTGGTTTGTACCATTTGAGATGCAAATCACTGTCATGGACAAATAGGGCGCTCTGGCTTTGCTAGTAAATGTGAGCTGACTTTATTTCATTACTGTTTTCATCTTTGACTTTCGTCATTGTCGAACGGATTGCTATCAGTATTGAATTGGAATTTATCTTACTAATATATAGAGCGGTTTTCAATTTAGTGTTGTAAAACCAAAACCAAAGTAATCACTCTGGCCAATCACAAAGGACACGGGAAATCCCATCAACCAATTAAAACTCAAGCAAGTACATGGAGCTGAACGGAAGCGCGGGAAAATATGCGCGAGCGAGTTACGATTGGTTTCGGTTTTACTTCTGATTGGACGACAAAGTGGCGCAATTTTTTAAAAGCGAATTGGGAAGCGTTGTCGTGCAGAGCCAAGGCTAATTCGAGTTGAAATACTTTGGACACTCAATGAAAACCGCTCCAACTATACATTGCTATTGTGTTCTCTTGAGTATTTGGTAGTACATCACAACGCCATTTCTTCATTGATGTTATCCCGTCTTCCAGTTACCTGTCGTCTTGATATAATGCTGTTCTAAGAGAAACAGCATGTTGATTATTAAGGTTTTATTCTTTTGGGAGTGACTGCTGCGAGAATTTGATAATTCGTCCGTCAATGCAGCTTCCTCAGTTTTGACGTAACATATCTGACGCGAAAGACCGTGTTCGACCACCTTTCCAAACACCGAGAAGAGAGTTGAAAATGCGACGCGCAGCGGAGTTTTTTTGACGAACTTCGAGGTGTTTGGAAATGTGGTCAAGTACGGTCTTGAGTGTTTGATATATATTCTCAATCGAAACCAAAACTAAGGAGAAAACGGAGAAATAAAATCGCAAAAATGTATGCTAATAGGCCACGTTCGATATATCAATATTCTAACATGGCTCCGAGACTTTCGGGTCAAAATTGTAATTTTTTTAAGTTTTCTTTCTCTCTCAATTCCCAAAAGAGACTTGGATACAAAGAAAACAGCACCAAATATAGAAGTTTGTCCTGAAAGCCTTGATAAATTATTAATGAATTTGAGAAGATTAGATCTTTAATTCTCACAATCTTCTTCCCCTCAGTCCTGAATTACATCAGACTCCCACACTATGATGTTACTTTACATTCGTTTTTTTTTAAATGTTTCTTTTTTTATGTTGTGCCACATTTTACTAGTTATGTGTACTGTGCGGGTTGAAAAGACACACAAGTTGCTCCATGACAAAGGAAGGCATATTAAAATTTTATAAAAAGTAACGATCATTTACGCGGCATCTTGCTGTAAAATATATACATATTTCTTTACTTTAATTTTTAATGTATTACTTTTTATCTAATCGAAAGCGATCTTGTTTAAGGACTTTTTGGCGGGCATTCGTAAGAAAAGGAATCAAAACTTGAAAATATAACTTAGCTTGCAAAAGGCTGAGCCCCAGTTTCGAAACATGAATAGCACTAAATGTCGATTGTCCTGATGACTGAAACGTTGGAATCGTAACCTATCTGAATTTAAACCTTTGATCTCTTTTGCGTCTATCACAGTCGTATCCTAAACTGACGACAAAAATATAAACATCTGACATTGGTCGCTTTTATACTGGGGACGCACCAGTAGTGATTACCCACCCGGAGGAACTGGGTCAAGTGTTTTCAGTGAGCAGTCTAGAAGTACGTCTCAGTATATAGAAGGGTACAAGACGCGGGTTTTAGGACGAATTTGGTTGAGACGGATAAAGAAGGGCAGCAGACGAATTATGCGCATGGATAGTTATACGTTTCAGTATAAAGTCAGTATATCTGGAACGACAAACTAAGCGTTTAGAACAAGTGATAGCTCCTCCTGTTTTTACACTAGAGCACGTACTACACGCATAAAACAACATACACGTTATCCTGAGTATATAACAATCTGATCACCTGCTGCAACTCGTAACTTGCTATCGCAAGGGCTATCACTAGGGCTATTCACAACTGGTCAAGTCATCTCAGTGAGAAATCAAGCATCAATATAGTGTTTCGGACTTGTTGCTCGACAGTCAACAGGTCTCTGTAGTCTTGAGCGGCTTTAGATGGATTGAACACGCGAAATATTACGAACAGGCCAACTCTACGGAAACACGGAATGACTCCTAAGTCTTCGAGACAGACTTCCCGGCCGAGAAAAAGGAGAAACACAAGAAAAAGGAGAAAAGAAGCCCCACCTAGCATGCACTTGCAAGAGCTGAGTTGAATTGCAGAGGCGCGCGAAAGGAGAATGAGGAGTCTCATTTCAACTCGCAGCCTGTATTTAGCTACGACTTGGCCTACCAGTAAGCCTTCCCAGAGGCTAGCAATAGGGGTGAAGAATGATATTTCAAAAACTGTGGGTCTCGCAATATTTTAGTCCAATTATACGGGTGTCCCAGTCTCGATTTTTTGAACGGCCATGCACGTGTCGCAGTCTCGATTTTTCACCAAAAGGCTGAGCAAGTCTTGAAGTCCCATGATACATTGAATTTTAATAACGCAACTTTCAAATTTCCGTCTATAAAAGTTAATCCTAAATTCTCCTGAATTGTACCACCACATCATTTTGGCGCTAGAGAGCTTACTCGTTCTACGATATCATGAATTAGTGATTTCCAGTTACAGAGAGTCTCGGTCTCGCAATTGAAAAGAAGTTCAAAATGTCTCGGGCTCGCAAAGGAAAAACGCTAGATCTAAGTACCCACAATTACCATTGGCCACCCCTATCACTACCTCGGAAATCTGTGAAAAATAAACTTAAGCAATAGACCACAAGTTTTTTATGGTTTATAGGCTGATAAACCACGCGGGATGTTGGAAGACCACTCGAAGAATTCTTCCAACATCCCAAGTGGTTTATCATGCCTCTAAACCATAGAAATTTGAGGTCTATTGCTTTTATATAATAATTCAAAAGACACGCGAAATTTCCATGAGTTTACTTGCACAATAAACCATAGCTAATTTACCAATCAGAGCGCTCGCATTCATTTCATTATTACATAAAAACAAATAAGCAATCTACAAAGATTCCGTTCGGGCTCAACCGCCGCGCTCCACTCAATCCCAGAATGCACTGTACGATTCCCAGAACACGTTGCAATCCCTTTGAGTTGCAGGAGCGCGATGAGTGCGCCATTTTATCCCTAGAAGCGCTCGGGAAGTTTAGCAATTAGCAGGGTCTTCTGCCATTTTTGGCAGTCTTCAGACAAAATGACAGCGCAAGAACAAATGAAAAAGATGTTGGATGAGCTAATGGGAACCCAGAGGGATGGTGAGTGCAAAAAATGCGATGTGAAAGTGAAACGAGCTCGATACGTCTTGACTGAATTTGAAGATTTAGCACGCTTGTGAGTTTGTTAGAGCTTTTTCTTATTGGGTTATTTTTGTATACTGACTAAATAGACAACTCAGTTGTGATGTCGACGCTAGCTCAATCAAGTGGAGTGAGTTTTTGTCTTTGTCATGTTTTTATCTTTTCGAATTCTTTTTTCCTCGTGCCCAGCTGTACTGTAGAGAGTGTTCTTCTAGTTTAAAATAGTATTCAACACCTGTTTTGTTGACCTGTTTGGAATGGGGGCTTCAATTTCGTTTGAAAGGATCTCTTTTACACACCGTATTACCTATTATCTTTTGTACAAAAATGAGTTACTGGTTGAATATTTGTGGCCTTGCAACGGGAAGGAAAACTGCAAGTTTATTTCTGAAAGCTTTCCATGAAAATTAACCGACTTTCATACTCTGATAGGCTTTGTCACAGCAGGTCTGTGTTGTGGTTTTGCTATTGGCTTAAGACTGACATAGAAATTAAAATTATACTCGTGATGTAGCAGGAAAAACAACTACATGCATGTTTTGAAGTAAATTTATTGCAGACAGCATTTGATGGGGCAAGTGCAAATTGCATTTTGTTTGCTGTAGCAAAGTCAATCAGAGGTGCAAAATATATACTCTTCACATAAAACTGTAACCTGTATATACCCTATTCTTTGCACCAGCTTTGAAAAAAGCATTTTCTTCTAGCAGTCAATATTATATTTACCAGCTGTCTTGTGTAGCTTGATATCTTGTGCGCACTCTGCATGTACAGTATGTTTTATAAATTTCTTGTATACCTGTGTTATGGGAGTTCCCCATTAATACCAGATATTGAATGCTTTCTCAAACAAGGCTCACTGATAGCTATGTACATGTATTGTGAGCAAGTCATTGGATGCGTAAGTAGGGCGACGTAAGTAGGGACAGAAAATTTCAATTTTGTTTTCTTATGGTGGTTGGGAGGTATTGGTTACTCAGTAATTCTTGACTAGAATCAACCTTGAATGGTTCATTTTTGGATATGTAATGTAGCATAATATTGACAACAATCAAGAGAGACCTACATACATACATACCTCTGGAGGTTTTAAGTCTTAGACTGGGTATAAAAGTATAGATGAATCTACATTTTACCCATATGAAATATTTCTCAGGGGCCAATTTGTTTTTTCTCAAGATCTCTATCTGAAATGTTTTGGAATAAAAATTCATTTTATTATGTCTTAAGACTGGGGGTTTTAATCCACACTCCTTATCCAATCAACATGAATTCCAAAAAATAAAAAGGAAGTTGCATTTCACAGAAGCCAGAACCAATTTTCCATTTTGTTGACTTATTGTGTTTAAAGTAAGGGTTTTGTTCTGTGTGTTGTATTATCCTTGAGTAACCTATATCACATAAATCCTCTGTTTAACCCACTTACGTATAAGTAAAGGTTTGCCCTTTTTAATTATGTTTTGGTTACCTTCTTTTCATCCTACCTCATGTATATGTATAAGCTTGAGAGGGAACATCCAGGTTTCCTTAGAAAATTTACCATTCATATTTATTTTGAACAAATCAAACACCAAAAAAAAAAAAAATACAAGATTCTCCGGCTATTCCTTGTCAGCAATCTCATTAACTTGGTATAGCCACTGCATGCTGGAAAGAAGATGCAGATATTGAAGTGATTCTTGAAGTTATATTGTACAACTGGCTATACAATTCTTACTGAAGGTGTTATCTAAAGTTTATGTATAGTATGTACAGTGTACATGTTAAGGAAACTCTTTGGGTTTAATGGAGGATTTACATTGTAAAGCATTTCCGCATTATAATTTTGTCATTAAACATTTTCAAAGCGAGAAATTAAAATACTGTATTTAAACTGTTGGATGGTATTAATGCTTTATTTCTGTGTTGTCTTTATATCCTTCTAGGTGCCAGACCTGAAGATGTAATCAAGTTTACTGATGACCGAGTTTGTAAGAGCTTCCTTATGGGTCTTTGCCCTCATGAACTCTTCAATAATACAGTGAGTAGCTTGTTTTAACTGATCATCAATACACAGAGTGTGCAAATGTATTTGTCTCAGTGTTTAAATTCTTGGAAGAGTACTTGTAGATTGCTCACAGAGGTAAGGTAAAAGGTAAAGTCTGCATACGAGCCAAGTTGCCCATTAGGCTTGTGCTTATCCTGATTTCTGTAGCATGAAGCAACTAGGAGTATTTCCACTTCCCCCTGGATGGGATGTCAGTTCATCGCAGGGTTACCTTTACTATTAAATTTGCTTGTACCCATTTAAGAGGTACTGTGAGGGTAAAGTGTCTTCTAATAACACAACACAATGTCCCCAGTCAACAGGACTCGAACCCGGACATCTTGATCCAGAGTTGAGTACAACCATGGTGCCACTGCACCTCCCTCCAGATTGCTTACAGAGAATCTGTTTTAATCACAACTAAATATTGAAAATACAAGTTAATTGGTGAAACTTTTCAATGGTGTTTTGATTCCATATAAAATGATAAAATTTACCATCAGATGTTTTGGTGCACATCATAATATTTTACTTTGCTGACAAGTTTGTGACAGTGTAAAGCTCTTCACCTTACATATTCAGTACAACCAGTTTTTACTACTCCAAAAATACACCTTTATCACTCTTTGTATTGAATACTATATAAAAGGATTGTTTCTTTTAGTAGCTTCCCTGATTAAGTCTTGTTGTATCCCTTTCATGCTATTCAATGAAGAACAGTGGATCTTCAAAACTGTAAGTTAAAACTGTGCGAAAAGCCATTTCTAAAGTGAAGCTTTTTACTGTAAAACAATCTCATCTTTTTCATACTCTACATGAATATTTACTAGGCACTTTCTTTTTGATGTATTTTCTAACTTGCTTTTGTTGCAGAAAATGGACCTTGGTCCATGTAACAAGATTCACGATCCTGCCCTGAAAGCAGACTTTGAGATTGCGTCAGAGAAAAGAGACTATGGTTATGACATAGATGTAAGTATATGTGAATTGGTCTGTTAAAGTTTGTAGTGACATGTTGAGCTGAAAGGGATGGAAGAGGGTTTAAGCAAACTGGATGACAAAAAAGACTGTACATTAAATATATGCATATTTCTGTTTACTAATGAAAGTATATGACCACTATTAACATTGGCTGCTTTGCATCAGTCATTGGATCACTTGAAATTTGGAACACAGAAACAAAATCACTCTGGGTGAAAACTTGTTGTCTGTTTTTAACACCGTGCTTCATGTATGCTGACTGAATGCCATTTTATTTTTGTCATATTCTCTATTTTAACCAAAATTATTACATTTGTCCAAAATTTTACATTATTATTACATGAAAGTGAACTAATTTGCTTTTTTTTCTTTAAACTTTTTATCAGCAAATGGAACATCTTCAGTCTTTCATCAAGGACTGTGATAGAAAAATTCAAATAGCAAAGAAAAGGCTTGAGGAGACACAGGATGACCATGACCTTGTTCCCGAGGTTTGTATTTTCTCTTTTCCATGACCACACTACTGTAAAAGTGTAGGGGAAAAATACCATGGCAAGCTAGCTAAAGTGTTGTTACTTTGTACAATCATTTGGTACAACACTGACAGGTGCATTATGCTGCAAAAAAAACATGGGGTGAAAGACACATTATTTACTGAGGTAAACGATGGATGCTACAGTACCGGTCAAAGGGACTGCAGCATTACACGCGCGTAAAGCGCGTGTACTACACGCACATTACACGCAGTGTCCATGCAATGTCCACGCACCTTACACGCAAATGCATGAAAATGTGTGTAATTGCACGCGCGTAATTTCACACAGAAGACGTGATATTGCGTGTAAAATCACATGCAGTCGTTCAACTGGAACTCATTAAGTGCGTGCAATGAGAACAAGATATTAAAAGTGCTTGTAATGAAAACAAAACATTTACTGTGTAACATTTACCATATTGGACTGCACTGCGATATGGCTTAGTCTTTCACCTTCTTACTTCTGGTCTTCAAACGTTTCCGGTAGAATAGACCAGTTTCCTTTAACCGGCTTACCGCTTTACAGTAAAAGTATTTTTTGCGTCGTACATGTAGTTTCAACAAGCGGCGCCAGCGACTGACAGGCATGCTAGGATTCACTGAGATAACAGAACATAAACACATAATTTTGCTTTCAATTTTAAATTACAGCAATCAGTGTACTTTAAAACAATTCGAAGATTCATTAAAAATATGTCGTACTCCGAAGCGTTTGGAGTTTACCGGTGTTCAGAAGCTTTTCCCGTCGTGTTTTTTCTTTTTGTGAGAAACAACAAAAGCGCCAGCGACTGACAAACTGAGGTTTGACAGACATGAAATAACAGCAAAACACATTATTTCACTTGAGATTTTCAATTAATTTTTAAACATCAGTTATCTTCTTCAAGTTTAAAAAGCCTTTGAAGATTTGTCATTAATGTTATGTACTCAGAAGTGAATGTTGTCTATGTGAAAGCATATTGTTTTGATCTGATTGAAATGAAATTTGATCTGTTTCTTGAACTTCATTGCCTAGCACGTGACCAAAATCTTCCCAAATCTATGATCTGTCAACGCGACTCAACCCAGGGATGAAAATCTGATGACTCGAAAATTAACAAATGCTTAGATTTTGTTAAAAAAAAGTTTCGATTCTTCGCCGTTTAAGCAGAAGTGTGGCCAATGAGCAGATTAAGAGGGAGTCGGCAAGTTTCTGTTTGAATCCCTACTTCATTGTTATTGAAGGAACAGGGGTTGAAATGACGTTTCGTGGGTGGGTAAACATTATGTTGCGATGCACATCGTAAGCGAAAACTCGTAGATCTTTAAGAATTAAGTTTAGATGTTAAGCAGAAGTGTGGACTGCTACACACTCAAAAATAGTATTTGTTTGATAGGTGCTTGAGCTAGTCCACTAATTTAGCAATGCTTGTCGGCTTTTAAATTTACTTTTTGTTGTGAACATTAAGAGTCACGTGTTTTGAATACAAGTTAGTAGTGGCTTTTTGTTGTGCAAAATACACGCAACTGCGTGTATGAATAACAAAGGTTTCTTTCTCCGATTAAAATACAGCATTTGCATAAAATTACATGCAAATATGTGTAACTAACAGATCAGTAAATTTTACATGTGTGTAATTACATGAACCGTCCACGCACTGCCCACGCACTGTCCACGATTACTACACGCAGACTACACGCATTTTATGCGCGTGTAGGTGCTGCAATCCCTTTGACCAGTACTGTACTTCAGAACCCCCTAGGCCGAGAGGACTGGAAATTACAGTGTAAGTTGGGACTATTTGGTTAGCCTACAGCTGTATATACACGACTGGTTGGCTCTCTTTGGTTTTCTTGCGGTTAGTCTTCACACTGGTTTTCTTGTGGCTAGCTTTCACTTTGGTTTGCGCATTAGCTTTTACATTGGTTTTTTTTGTGGTTGCCTTTCATCCTGGTTTATTTTAACACTATACATGTATATGGCTTTAATATTACCAAACTGGCAGCTAGCTCTGCCAGGGTGCATCATACAAATTACTGTTACTTTTTATTACATAAAATAGGTAGGTAAAGTCTGCATATGAGCTAAGTGGCCCATCAGACCCCGGAGCTTATCCTGGTTTCTGTAGTATGAAGCGACTAGGGGTATTTCTACTCCCCCCTGGATGAGTTGCTAGTCCATTGCAGGGTTACCCTCAGCATTAAGTTTGCTGGTACCCATTTATACACCTGCGGTTGGAGAGAGGCACTGTGAGAATAAAGTGTCTCGCCCAAGGACACAACGCAGTGTCCCTGGCCAGGGCTCAAACCTAGACCGCTTGATCCTCAGATGAGCGCACTAACCATGAGGGCATATTTACAGAGCTTGATGTTGCAACCGCTCGGGTCGCCAGTGAGACTGAATTTTTTCACTGGCAACTAACTTTTCATACTTTTCACTGAAATACTTTTGCTTGTGACTAAATCTGAAAACTTAATTCCAGCTGGCTTTTCCTGAAAGGTTTTTTTCCTGAAAGTCAAGCCCTGATTAAACACATTTTGTCAAACTATACAAATTATGTCAAATTATATGCACTCTTGTGCATACTCACTGCACTTATACAGGTTTACATCAAGAAAAAGTACAGCTAATAAAGTATGAAACTGTTCTTGGCTTTTCACTGAAGTACTCTTGCTGGCGACTAAATCTGAAAACTTAGGGGCCAGCTGGCTTTTCCTGAAAAGCAAATCCTGATTTAACACATTTTGTCAAATTATACATTGGCACTCTTGTGCATACTCACTGCACTTACTCTCACTGCAGGTTTACATCATGAAAAAGTACAGCTAGTAAAGTATGAAACTATTCTTTGCAGGTGAAATCCCCCCAAATGTTTCATGAGTCCTTTATAGCTTTTTGTCTGTGAGTGAAAGACCAAACCAAATGTTTACTGTACACAAAGTAATCTTGGTAAGACTTTTCCTAGCCTGATTTGCTGGTAAATTAAGCCAATTATTTCTTTCCTCAGGCCCAAGCAGTTCATGACCTGGCTGAACAGATTGGTAAAAAGCTTGCTGAAGCAGAAAGTATGGGTATGTGGCAAAAAGGAAATCCCTATTCTTCCTTTCTCTTCCAAATGAAAAACAGAGGCACTGTAATTCGATACAGTCAAAACTCACATGTAAGGACCTAGTGGTTTAAGAAACTGCTGGCAGAAATTTGTTATTTTAATACCCAAGAATATAAGAACCTGTTAAGCCAAGCAATATCAAGCAGGTTTTTATATGCAAGATGCATTTTAACCAAGGAGTGTGACACTGAGATTGCAAACCTATAATTATTACAGAAACTACATAATACACGATACACACTCCCTAGATCATATGTTCTGACACTGCTGTTCCATTATAGCCTTTTAGAAGACCTTTCAAAACTGGTGGACAAACAAAACGAAACAGCAACTAGCATTATCAAATAGTATGATTTTATACAGTGTTTTTGATAAAATGGAACATAGATACCCTTTAAACTATGTGCTTCTAACTGCAAAATTTTCTATATACTGCAGCTGCCTGCACGACGAAAAGCTCTCTTTTGACAGTTTTCTTATACTTCTAAAAGAAAAATTAAGAATCAAATTAAAAGAAATTGCATTTAAAAACAAGTCTCTTACTGCTTTCCAAAAATCCTTTCAACATATTATTTAACATGCACTGACGGCGTGGTTTCTTTGTTTTGTTAACTAAGTAGTGTTTTTTTGTTTTTTGGTTAGTAATATAATGCTTATACTGTACATATATAGCAAAGGCAGCATTAGTAGTGCTGCCTTTTGTTTGAAGCTTTAAAGCAAAAAAACAAAATTGGACATTTTCCAAACTGTATTGTTTTAGCTATGTAAAGAACAATGTAAGTAGTCTTAACGATCATACTGTACTGTAAGTAAGTAAGTATTGTGCTGTAATATTATTTCCTCTTTTTATTTATGTAGTTTTTTTCCTATGTATATTGTGTTTGTAAATCAATTAAAAAAATTAATACAGTTGTGAATTAGTACTGTATATGCAAGGACCAAACCCAAGTTAATTTGTTTTTCTGGTTATCAACAACTATATCTCTTTCATAGAAATTAAGAAGCTAAATTGGACCCTACTTAGCCTACAGTAAATTGCCAGTAATAACTACCCCAAAATGCAATAACTTATTTTGCCGGACTCCAAAAAATGTAGGTTCTTACATGTACGTGCAGGTTTTTGTAAAGGTAAAATGCTGTGAAACAAATATAAAACAAACAACATTTTAAAGATGTTATTCATTTTTCTTTACATTCTGTAACATTTCAGAAAGTATTGAATTACTCAACTGTTTGTGTTTTCTTTGTTGCAGGAGCTGAGGGCAAAGTTGATGAGTCAATGGAACTCATGAAAGAGGTGGAAGACTTGAAACAAAAGAAAAGAATGGCAGAGGTAGGGAGAGACATGGTTATTTGTTTCATTCAAGGTCTACAGTTCATGTAACATTGCATGTAACATTAAACAGGCCTTTCCCATTGCACAACCAGACTTAACAGTACATGTAGTTATGGTGTGCAGTAAAGTGAATTTCAGACATGATGGTGCTTTTGGCATTGAATAAAGTGTTGCAATAGGCACGGGATAAAAACTAAAATCATAAAATTTGGGAGGTTTTCAATGCTCAGTGTTGGCTTCTACAGTAGCGTTGTCTGCACACTTAAAATTTTCAGGGGAACCCTTTTTCATTAAGGGCCGAGCACCTGACAAATTAACTGGCTGTGAGGCCAATTTTGCATATGTTGTACCTGTTTTTTGTCTACCTGGTTCGACCATCTAGAGGAAAGTTTTTGTTATAAATACATTCAGTTCAAAAAGAATGGCGTGCCTGTGGAAACCAATTGCCTTCCTGCTGAAAACCTCAGTGAAACCCCTGTGTATCAGTTCTCTCAGAAATATCATGAATGCCACATAGTCACATGGACTACTGACACTTGCAGAGTGATTAGTGAATTAATGGCTTGGGCTTGTTTCATTCCCCTGCAGGACATATATCGAGAGACCCTTCCATCATCTTCACTTCAGCAGCAAAAGTTGAGAGTCTGTGAAGTGTGTGCTGCATACCTCAGCTTGTATGACAATGACCGCAGGTGAATTCATAAATTTTTGGCAGGGCATGTATGCACCTTGAGAGTCCTTGAGGAAGTGGACACACATTTTGAGGCCTTTTATGATCTTACAAAGTACACTGGGTCCTTAACAGTTCTTGAAATTTACCTTTTTCAGTACTGATTCTTACGCTTTTCTCTCCACCAATAAAAAGTTTAGAAAAGTGAGCCTATCTCTCTCTCTCTCTTTAAAAATGTATAAAAACATAGCTCGTGTGTCCTTAAATAAATAAATGGTAAATACAATGTAATTTATATTTGAGGCTTTTTAAAGATCATGTTTTATTCCCCTGCAGTTAAGTCCTTTGTTTATCCACAAAAGGGTAGGAACCATGTTTTAAAGGGGTTAAAATGTTGGCACATTTTCTATAATATTGTTCTCGGAGAAATTCTTTATGCTTATCATTCCCTCTATATTCATTTGTCCAACCAGATTGGCTGATCATTTTGGAGGAAAACTTCACATGGGCTTCATCAAAATTCGTGACAGGTTGAAAGAACTACAGGTATTCTTATAACTGAGCACAAAATGCAAACCTGAAGATTCTAATCGTTGGAGCCGTGAAATCATTGTCCATTTAAAATGTTTCAGATTTACATTTGGAAGGAATATCTATCAAAGTTGGAACATCAACATTTTGTTAATTTTTTTTTTCTGAAGTACATGTACATCATATTTTCTTTCGAATAAAAATAAGTCTCCCCGCACTATTTATCCTGCCGAATTTAGTAAATAAATGAAGCTTCATAAGAATCTGTTACAAACTCATAAAAATATGGGAAACCAATTTTTACAAATAAATGTAAGCCAGGGGGCAATTCTTGCCCTGACATACAGTTCTTTGTAAATATTGGCAAGTTTGGGGTCCCATATTTTCAACGTATTTTTATGAAACTTCGCATATTTACTCAATTCGGCGTGGACAAGGGTTTTTTGTTTGTATCAAAAATGCGAAAAATTGTTGATGTTGCGTGACATCGGTAAAGAGGTCCAAGAGTAAGCTTGGATTTGTCACTTACCAATGGGACGTTTATTGTGTATTGGGTTTATGCAGTTGTATGTAATAATTTTGAAGCAACGGTGTGTACTTTGAGGTTTACTGGTTAAACTGGTAAATACCTGTAGGGTACATTTATTTACAAGCCTGATTTTGTTTGGTGCTTTTTAGGACGGAGTGGCTAAAAAACGCTCTGAAAGAGAAATGGAGCGCAATCGACGACGTGAAGAGCGGGAACGGGAAAGAGAACAGGAGAGACGAGAACGAGAGAAAAGAATGAGAGAAAGGGAACGAGAAAGAGAAAAAGAAAGGTAACTGAAAGTATTTCATCAGGGATTTCTGGGCTATGATACATGTATTAATTCCCACTCAAACTCGTCACATAAATATATTCCTTAATCCTAGGATGTGTAGCTCTTTAATTTTCAACAGTGATTTGAATCTACATGTAGTCTCTTCTCAAAGAAGCTCTTTTGCGTAAAATGCTATCTCTAGGACCGCCAAGTTCTCATGAAATATCCAGCAATCAGTATAGCCGGGATGCAGCCCTTTACTTTAATGCGGAAACAAAGGAAATAGATGGCCTCTGCTTGCAGGTTATAATCACTGACAAGAATTTACATTTTGAGCTAAAGAATGCAAGTATCACTGGTCGATGGCTGCTCGTGTTTCTTCGGTGTTTTCTTCCAAATCACTCCTTCAAATTAAATATGCGTTGCAGTTTTTATTTGGGTGGTCGCACAACGTTCCTCTCCACTAAGCCCTTAAATTGTGTTGCGGTATGTACAGTTGTACAGTACTATATGTAAATGACTAACCCAGTTAGTCGGGCCAAGATGATTCTTCTCTTTTACTTGACGTTTCTTTATTTTTTTGGTATTTTTCTGTTCTCTGTCAAGGAGCCGGCGCCGCCGAAGTCGAAGTGGGAGCCGCAGCAGAGAGAGAAGAAGGAGAAGAAGGTAATTCTTGTAGTCAATGTGTCAGTCAGCAATTTGTATCAGTACTCTGTGGGAAGTTCCCCTAAGCAAAGGACACCTTTTGTGACTCCACGTGGACACGTGAGAGCTTACTAATACCTTTTCAGATGTACATGTAACTATTGAACTATTAGATGCAGTAGTTACTCGGTGACCCCAAAGTTGTTAAATTCTCAATTGAATAGTCAGCATTTTTAGAGGTAAAAACTGCGGGTAATTAGTGGTAGGAAAGGTTATCCTTGTGACGTGAACAGAGGAAGCGTGACCGAGTGGTCAGCGCGTCGGACTCTCGATCCAGTGGTCCCGGGTTCGTGTTCCTCTCTGGCCACTACCAGTGGATTTGTTTCTCGGTAGCCCCGAGTTCAAATCCTAGGCCACTCTTGTAAATAGCTAACTGGTTTGCCTCCGGCCAGTTGTGACTCGTCACTTTGAATTATTTGTTTCAGTTGTTTTCTCGGCTCCACTAGCCTTTATGCAACAAACACTGCCGAGGGTAAATATAGGTTGTTTTTTTATTACTTGTTTAGCAGTAACAGTACCGAGTATGTAAGAAATATAACGAAGTTTGACTGACTTTGCACTGTGTTTTACAGGAGCCGTTCACATTCACGGTCTCGATCGAGATCGCGGTCAGGATCCAGATCTCGCACGAAACACAAGTCCTCATCTCGCCGCTCTAGATCTCGCTCCCGTTCAGCATCTACGAAAAGGAAAACTCCACCAACCAAATCACCGCCACAATCACCTAAAAGATCTCGTTCCAGATCGAAAAGCTGAGATTTGGTCGTCTTTTTAGGCGCTTATTACTTCAAAGCGAGTCTTCTCGCGGCAAAATATCTCCTTTTTTATAGCGCAGTGTTACCTGTTACATCTTCTGTATATTTTAAACGCCCTTCAGTTAAGCCAAAATAACAACTGAGTTGTAGTTTGTTCCTGGAATTGCTTGATTTAGTCTTCCAAATAATTCCTCTTCTATAGTGTATTTATGTGTAATAATTTCCTTCCTCAACGTCTGCACTCATTATCGTGCTGTTATGTCAATTTGGAAATGTGGTTGTCCGATTGCGTTCACAATATACCAGCATGGCCTCGTCTTGTCGGTAGTGGTTGCTATAAGCTTCTCGGCCGCAGTGAGTCTGACGAGGTGTTCATTTTACCTTAGAAAAATTAAAATTGTCAAAAGTGAGGCAAGTTTCGTTTTATTTAGGAAACAAACGTGCTTGCTAACATACGACCGGTAACTCTTGAATGGGTATTCGTACAAACCGAGGCCCTAAATTATCTCATTGTTCTCTCGCTCCGCTTATGTTCTGACACGATTTTAGGCGATTTCTTGTTTCGCACGCGCCTGCAAACAGGTAAAGCAAGTCTCTATGGTTTTCGGGATGGGGTAGTGAAGTGAAAAGGGGTACAGTATGGTAGTAAAGCTTGCCCACATTCGAGAGCTTTACGACAATTCTCATCTTACCACTGGTCATGCATGTCCAAATAAATGATTCCATATAGTGCAATAAAGAAAACTAAGGGTAAACAGCTCTAGTTCAAACAACTGTATTTTAGCTCAAGGGGCACGGTAGTGTTAGTTTGTTATGCATTTGCATACACTAACAATTTATATCTCCC